TGTCGTCCTTTGGCTGATGAAGATCAACGATTGCCAGAAGCGATCAGATACAGATAACAGATCAATTAAGCACCAGAGGTAATAAGTGACATAGCACGTTTTGCAGTATCACCGCCGATATGTTGGTGCAAATATAATCATGGAGTTATGTACGTTTAGGAAACATTCTCCCACGACAACTAAATACATACGAAATTACTTGATTTCCGTAAACATTTTTTTATAGAAAAACCGTAATTTTTTTGTCGGAAGAAAGTCTATGAAAATGCATTTCTTGTTTATAATTTTATGGAAGGTCGTTGTAAACCCCGGTCTGCTACCGGGTAGCAGTCTGACACACGCGCTCAGCTGTTGCTACTCGCACGCGAAGAATGGTGCGTGCTGGCCGCAAAAAAATTGTTTATTGTAAAACGAGAATAAATATTATTTAACATACTTACATATTTATATGTACATATAAACGTCAAAACAAAATTTTTTTTCTCTCATCTAGATTATNTTTTGTTTTAAAATACCACCATTCACTATTATCCACACGTTTTTATAGAATTTAGCTCCCATTTTAGGAAGTGTGATTGAATTCTTCCCCTTTTTCTTCTGCTTCCAAAAACCATCCCTGTGGGTGGGAGTGCCAAATTTTAGAAAAAAGCTACTTACAAAACCTTTAATAATTGAATCATGATTATTTTGAAAACGTGTGGGAAGAGGCGATACGGTAAAAGCGCTGCCAGACGCAGCGATGCAAGAATTTACTTTTTCTTCGCAATTCATTGACAAAATGTGAGAATGAATGGTGGTCCAATTTCCCGTATAAATTCGAAATTATCGAGTTTGCTAGGCTTTCAAAAACTACATATGTGCATAACAAGCCTAAAAGCACTTTAATTCATTTACTATGGATTAATTAAATTCGCATACAGGACATAACATAAAATTTTTGTACTTAAAATTGACAGTTAAATACCGAATGTGAGTTAACTCTCCACTGTGGCGATATAGGCAAGAGATGTGGCCTCTCCCCCAAGGTAATCTCCTAAGTAGCTTAATGAAACCATAGTTAAGCCCATTATATTTTATGGAGTTCTCGTCTGAAGGTATGCACTCTAGATGATTGGAGCGTATGCAATGATCTGCCTTTGCTGAGATGCTGAGATCGGAGAGGCACTTAGAACCACTTCCACCCTGAATCTTAACGTAATGCATAGCATAACGCCTGTCGGTATTGCACGTAAGGCGGCTACAGCAGCCCTTAAATTTAGGCTTCCAGATCACTGTAGTATCCGCCAAGCAGAAGTTGATGCTATTAAGGAAGAAGGCGATTGGCGCTAAGAGAGGTCAATGTCTACTCAGACAGCCATAAGAGCGCTTTTATTGCTTATAGTGCATTAAAAATTAGTAGAGGAATGCCTGGCTTCTCTTCCAATTGCATCTAAATACTACATTGTCAGACTTATTTGTATGCCAGACCATAGTGACATCGCAGGAAACTTCGTGGCTCGTTAGGCGGCTAGGAGTGGCTTCCTCGAGCCAGACTCATAAAGAAAAGAGGAGTTTCCTTGACTAACTCTACACTGCTCGTGGAATCATGGGCCTTAAGGCAACTCAGCAAACGCTAGGCGAAAACGAGGGCAGTCGATACTGCAAGGTCTCTCGTGCCGAGGGTGGACTGGAGGCGGTCTAGGGATAAACTTACGCTCGCAAAGCTATCTGCCTGCTGGAGAATCCTGCAGTGTGATTAAACATCATATTTAGCTATTCACTTCTGCTTCGTTGACACATTTTTTTCAATAACGCTCTTTCAGTAAACGCGCCATATACTTGGAACTAAAAGTGTGAAAGTACAAGTCTTCATAAAATTAAATACTCACCTCTTGCATCGATTTTCCGCATTCTGTGTTACTCGTAGTCTAACTCACCAAGCTCGAGTAAAAGTGCGATGGGTGTTATTATTTTTGTTATGCTTATATTTTTATTTTTATTGCATCGAATATCTCAAACTTACTTTTAATTCATATGTATTATTAATAGTTACGAAAATCGCTTAAAACTGTATTCTTTCATTTACGTATAAAGAAAAAACTCATACTAAATTATTGTAAAATTATTTACGCATGCTTAAGTTATTTATTATTTGCATTCGAAATTTGTTTATGATTTTTTTTTTGTTTGTTTTACGAATCGCATTCATGTGCATGGGTATATACATTCATATACACATACATACACATAGGTATGTGATTATGTATACACTTAAATTTCCATGTGTGATTTTTTTCGCCCTCCTGGCATTTTATTATTTGTTTTGTGTTCTATACTTTATTTTTGTAGTTTTTTTTTTTGCATATACATACATACTTATGTACATATTTATGGAAATACCGGGCAGTTGTGGGTGCATTGGGATGCCAGTTATGTTTCTTATGTTTTACTTTTGAACCGCATGTCGATCTTCAGCCTCACCTTCTGTAGTTAAGCTCCGCAGTGATCTGGAAATTATTTTTTTTAGCTGTGTTTTACTAACTAATTCTATATAAATCGTAAATGTATGTTTTAGGTTTTTTTTTTTCAAAATGACTCATTATTAGTGCACTAGTTACGGTAAGATTTGGCAGAGCTAGACACGTGCATTTTTTAAACAAAAAATAATTACATACACATTGCAAAGGTGCTTAATTCAAAAATTGTATAGTGCGTTTGCATTCACAAATATAACAAAAAATACATAACTGAATATACTTTTCAAATGAGTATGCGCATGTGCCTGTTATGTGCTCTTAGAAAGAGAATTTGACTCTGTGACAATTTTCCAGCGAACCCTATATATTTACTAGCGTGTCAGCCTTTCTCGTTAAGTTCATAATATTATGTAATATACGAGAAATTTTTTAAAGCTTAACCAGCGGCGCAAATGCACATTACGTAATCAAATACTCCTTCAACACTTCGAAGGCGGTATATCGGAATGAATCGATCACAACCCAGATTACTTTTCTATAAGCATGGCCGCTTTGTGGTTAGCGTCCTTTACATAATAGGTTTCCATGATGGAAATGAAAGCGGAGATAGTGGATGGAACTGACTGCAGCTTAATGAGAACAAGGGAAAGTATCTCATCAAGCCAGGCTGCACATTAATGTTAATTTTATCATTCGACTAATCCTAATGCCCTCTGGGTTGTTATAACGGATGTCTGAGTAAAAGTATTTCAACCCTAGATATATTTTAGCAAGTTTTGGCTATTTTTATTTGTGTAAGGAATGAAAATGAGCAACACCTTCTACAAAAAAAAAATGACTAAAAATCAAAGGTAAGTCCTAGGTATTCAAAATTTTCACTTTGTTACTCTAAAATTGAATGGGCTACAAAACTACATACTCATAATGTTTCTAAGAAATATAATTAAACATCTCAAAGTTTTGGTGAAACTTGATCGAATTTTCCTGCTTTTTGTACAAAGTTTAAAATTTGGACTTACTTCAATTCTCATATAAAAATTTAAGATTATCGTTAGTATCTTCATGACCCAATGATCGGATTTATACCAAATTAGTATGAGACCACCTGTGAGGTAACACTTTTCTTTTAGAATTATAGAAATCGGTTAACGTGGGCGGTAACATACATAACAAAAAAAAAATATTCCGGCGAATCTTCTTCTTTTTGTGAAGACGGGTAAAAATTAAAAAAAAACATTAAATAAACGAAGGGATATAGCCAAATAATGCTAAAATGTCTCTGCTCTATTTATATTTTCGACACTCTATGTATGCGCATTAGGGTGGTCCAAAAATGCTTGTAGAAAAAGTAATGTCGGAATTTTAATGCTCTCACCCTCTAGAATTGTTCCAAATCGAAAAACATACACCCATTTTTTTCGAAATCAAACATTTTTAAAAGGTGCTCAAAGCGCTCAAAGTGTGCCATGTATTTTACGTGGGGAAAAATAATTTTTCGTGGAAATGGTATAGAATTCTTGAAAATCAATATTATTCTATCAGAGAACTCTTTTTTGTTGTATATTTTACAATTTTTTAATACTAGCGATCTTCTATGGGCTCCGCCTATTGTATTTTTTGGAACTTTTAGGGGGCATATAAAAAATAGTTAGTATCAGGGACGGTAATCATTGTGAGTAAAATAATTTAAATCAGCACTTAATCATTATTTTATGATTTTTATTTTTTTTAGCTCAAAAATAAAAATTATTATTGAGCTTTATTTTTTCGCTCAACGGAATTAATTATCATTTTTTTTTTATTTTTTCGATTACAAATAATGATTATTTTATGATTTTTATTTTTTCGCTCAGAGATAATCATTATTTTTGTATTTTATTTTTTCACTTAAAAATAATAATTATTTATGAAATTAAAAAGGCCATACAGACGCAAGCTACTCAAATGTTGACCTGAAAAGTTGGGTATTTATTCCTTTTATTAGGGTGTCAATACCTCTGAAAAGGATGCGTCGGAAATCACGTTGGTATAGCTTTTGAGTTTTGAGCTATTCCGCTGCGCTTGATTGTGTTGGCTTAACAAATATGAAAAAGTGAAAAAAGCAACAATAATTAACAAGGCGAACTTACCACAGTGCGTAGGCAACTGGCCCATATAAAATACATGAAAAACTTTGAGTGCTTTGAGCGACCACTAAATATTTTTTGATTTCAAAAAGAAAAAACGGGTAAAATTTTTTCAGTATAGCACAATCATAGGGGGTGAGGGCATTTAAACTCCGACTTTACTTATTTTGGATGATCCTAATGTATGTCTAACGTTAAAAAATTACAAATTTCTACAATCAATTTTCCTACTTTCTCCTGAATATGTATAATCAGTTTAATTTTGTATTTAAAAGCAAAAGTAATAGAAAATCACGTTTCTGAATAGATTGTGTAATACGCCCCACAAAAAATCCAAGGGGAAAGAAAACATTGACAAATCTGATAAATACGCTATCTATTCGGATGAAACTGCACTAAAAACTCCTCTAGATCACAGTTAGTGTTGTGATATTGGCGCTGTATGACACGCTGAAGCAGATTGTTTAGGAAAAAAAAAAAATGCAACTTTTCCGCAAGTTGATAATGTTTCTTTTATTTGTGTTTGTGGTTGGCTCTCGTGCTTTACCGGTTGATGGTTAGTGAAATTAATTTCTTATCAATTAATATTTGTCTGAATTTGTGAATATTTTGTGGAAATGTGATAAAATATGCGCACGGAACGTGTTAGGCGATGAATTAAAACCGATCTACTTATATATATACGCATGACTTGCAAGTCTATGTCTGTATGTATGCATGTAAACATGAGTGCATAGCAGTGCGGAAGACGAAAAGTGTACGCATTCGAATATATGTACATATAAACATATTTTTTAAAACACTTTTCATTATACATACTGGATCATAAACTATGCTCGCTCGTAAAAATTTACACATCGTCTTTGAAATATGTATATAAAAAATCATCTTCATTAAAAAAATACGCCTCCAACTAAACAAATATTATTTCGCATTTCTCCCCCATTACATAACTACGAGTAAATTGAAAATATTTATATCTTTTCAGTTAGCACATTAACATTCGCGAACGTTTGCGAAGAACGCGGGGACTGGTGCAGCGTAAAATGTCAAATTGCTGGTGGACGTGACGGCTATTGCAACAAAGCAAAAATATGCAATTGCCGGCAATTGTAAACTGAATTTCAAAATGCTTGTAATTTGAAATAAAATTTTAACATTTTTGTTAGTAATGAAAAAATATTAATTTTACTAATTCCAGAGATGTTAAAAATACTTTTAAAACAATCTTTAAATACAAAATAAAAACAAAAACGTTACAAAAAGGTATTTGAAATACAAATCCAAACTACTTTTACAAAAAATATTTAAATACGTACGATTTTGAAAATTCAAATACATTTGAAAATGCTTTTGAAAACAAACGTATTTTGTATTTGTATTTTAAAGACTTGTAATTGAAATACTTAACAAAGCTTCGTATTAGGCCTTGGAGTTCTATCCGTATTTTCGAATATGCGGATATTTGAATATCTGATTAAAAATCCGATAGTCCGAATATCCGATTAATAAATGAACGGATATAAACCGCATACCCGATAACAAAATTAACAGGTGCAAACCGGATATAGGAATAATAAAAGAGAACGGATAATAACCAGATATCCGGATAGTAAAATTTACGGATATTAACCGAATATCCGGATTTTATCCATGTCCACCCTAGTTTTTTTTATAAAATACGAGACCACTTTGATAAGTTAAAACCTTGACAGACGGTATCGTTGATCTGGATTAACGGCGCAGCTGATCAGATCAAAATTGTACCCTGACAGACGGGCAATCAACAACCGGTATATTTTTTTTCAGTTTTGTAATTCTAATTGAATTAATTACCTTTATTTGTTCCTAATGCTATAATAGTTATTGTGGACTTTCTTGATAAAATTAAATTCCAAAAATTTTAATTAACTAATAATAAAATAAATATTAAGAAAAAAAATACATAAAACGAAAGAAAATAAAATACATAAATCAATAATTTTTAGATTAGCTGCAGGACTTGATATGAATCAATTATTTTATTCCTCCCAAATGATAGGGTTTCTCAAAGTCCTTAATATACATTTGTTTCAGCAATGAGTTCTTCATTTAACCTGAATCTCTTATTGCTATTTCCTGAATTTTGAAACACAAAACGCTTGGATGGAGTTAAAACACGAGGATACTGCGGATGGCCCAAGTATAGGATTGAAAATTTACTTTTTCAAAATTTGACAGTACTCTTCTACTGATTTTTTGGAAGTTAAAATATTCTTGTTCTGAACAATTGTCCCTTTTTCCTGAAGAAAGTATTCGATAAATGCAAATTTTTGACCACTGTCCATTAATTTGAACTCGCGTTAAAAATTGATTCGAACCATGCCTAGGACATAGAGCTGCAAAACTATCGATAGTGAGCACAACGATAGTGTTCAATATTATTTTCAAACCTATCAATATATCGTCGATAGTATCGAAGTCTTGATATGTAGATCTATTTAAAATACTTCCGAAAGGGACGTTTGATAACCCTGTAGACTACTGAACAGTTAAATAAGAAGTACAGTTATCGAAAATTTGAAATGATTTGAAATTGAAGGAACTAGGTTTTCTAGAATGTGTATTTTGTAGGTGTGTTCTGGAAACTCCAAGAATGTTTAAATAGTTAAAAAAAAAGCAGAAAACAAGATATAAAACTTGAATAAACACTGTCTGTCGTACTATCGATAGTGACAAATTACATTCGATAGTAGCGAAAAATAAAAAAAATATCGATACTATCGAAAGTACAATCGATAGTTTTGCCCCTATACTAGGACACTTCAACCAGATACTCGTAGTTTAAAAGATTACAAAGGGTTCGGGATCTTAATAACGGGTGAAATGCTTTATTTGGCAAAATACTTACGAAGAGCAAATATTTCAAGCAAGTGGGGATATTATATACAGTGACTAGCAAAACTGTAACATGGTGTAACACTTTTTATTTCAGCCACCGCTAAATTTCCAAGCTCTAACGACTTTCATCCTATTGTTGTATATTCTTGTTGGTACATCCCTACTCCCTCTCTCATAACGATTTCAAGTCAATACAACAACAATAAATAAACCAGCAGACAAAAATGTAAATTAAGGCAGATGTTACAGTTTTGCACTCACTCTCAGTTTTGCATTTGACAGTTATCTCTTACTCAGTTGGAAGTCAGATGAATTTTTTCTATATTGTAATTTATTGAAGAAGTGATCACCAGTAAATAACATAGTTAATCAGGAACCATAAATGTAAATAATAGATTTACTGCGGCAAGGCGGGACCGCCCGAAATGTGGCAAAAAATTTTGTAATTCGCTATTTGAAAATGTTAAGACTGACAAAAAATATAGCCTAAAGTGTTCCCAAGGACAAAGGAAGTCTGTCAAAAAATATTACGGTACGATATCTTGTGAACTTAGCAGCAAGTAGTGATGCAGCCACTATTACAGAAGCGCTTAAGGTATTAAACTTTAATGCAAATGAATAGACAGCGAGGCGAAGAATTGCCAAATTGAGCGCAAAGGCATCATAAAGAATAAAAAGGCAAATTTGATCAAAATACATGTGCGAGTGTGGCAGCATTTTGCTGCATCGCACGAAAACCGAATCGTGGCATATTGGGATATGTTAGGCCGTTCATAATGCAATAAAAAACATATTTTTGAGTTTCAATTGAAGGTTATTTGCTCTGACAAGACTAAATTAATCGCTTTCAATCAGATGGCCGGGCATGGTATTGGATCGAAGACCCAAATTAAGCCCATGCGCATCATGTAAGGCAAACTGTGAATCACAGTGGTCGGTCAATAATAGTTTGGGGTTGTATTTATAAAATTGTGTTTGTCCGTTAGTACGCATTATGCGTAAGGAACAGTATCTGTTCATATTTCAACAAAATTTGCAAGATGTAGTCGAAAAAATTAGAGTTTCTGCTGAAAAATCACTCAAAACACACTGCATAATGTCGCAATGCCTGGATACAAAAGCAAAAATTTGCAAATTTTAAATGACCTCCACAATCCGCGGACATGAATCTCATCGAGAATTTGCGAAATCAACTAAAAGCACAGCTTAATAAGTATCAAAGTCCGTAAAATCGAGTACATGAGCTGTGAAAGCAAACTAAGGATATATCTCCAGAATTTTTACAAAGATACAAATAAGGTATGCCAAATCGCATCCAGGAACTGAAACAAGCAAAAGAGTACTGAACATTGTGTTAGTAGTTATTTTTTTCGTGAAAATTATCAAAAAGTTCTTAAAAATATATGAGTGCAAAACTGTAACATCTGCCTTAATTTACATTTTTGTCTGCTGGTTTTTTTATTGTTGTTGTATTGAATTCAAATCATTATGAGAGAGTGAGTAGGGATGTACCAACAAGAATATACAACAAAAGTATGAAAGTCGTTAGAACTTGGAAAGATAGCGATGGCTGAAGTAAAAAGTATTACACCATGTTAGATACACCTGTAGATAAACAATATCTAAATGCATATTAACATATGAATGTAATTACAGCCGTCATCGATTCGCCACTTCTCGCTCGCTATGTTTGAGTTCCGGCCGCTTAAAGAAGAATTTTGCATGTGAAAGCAACAGCAAAGTTAGCTAGAACGGATAGACGATAGCGAGTTTGGTTATACCTCTTTGAGTTCGTTCGTTTCGCCACTCGCTAACTGTTGGCGAATCGATGACGGCTTACGTGTATTAATGCGTGTTTTGATATTTTGTGATTTTTTAAGTAAGTGCAGTGAGGAACCGTTACAATGTGCATTTGAAAATAATTTGGCAATTTCCCTAATCTGGAAAAAGGAAAAAACTCGAAAATTATTTGGTAAACATATTGACAATTTTGTTTAAGCTTGGGGATTTTAGAGATTTCCACAACCTTTTCCAGTCTAAGAAATACCTCTAATAAAAAAAATAATAATTTAACAAATTTAATGTAACAGCGCACCTGTAAATTTTGTACATAAAACTGAGAATTGACTTGTGTGTATGAGCATTGTTGTTGCATGCATTTTTTATCGAATGTATTTATAAGATGATTTAATAGATGAGCCCACCGTAATACCCCATACGGGTATTCTATTACTTATTTGATATTTTGCTATTTGCCGCTCCATAAAAATTCAAATCTACGAACCTAGAACGTTCGAACAGTGATGGATCGGTATAAATTGGCTCGCTGGGATCTTCAAATTGATGACTTGTATTGCCATTATTGCGCATCGGATTGATGACTGGTAGCTGGCACATGCGCGCTAAATTGCTGTGGAGACATGGGAGGTATATAGAAAGAATTAAATAAGTAAACAATAATTTGTAATACTTTTACTATACAATCATAACGATCGAAAAACTATTGATACAAAAAGAAAAACTGAAAATCATATTGCTAGATTTCCAAAGAAGGAAACTTTTACTGCGCATTAAGGCCGTGCATATAACATGGTGTCGGTAAGGGCCACTAAAAACTTTCATGAAATCTGTTGCCTCGTCGTTACGGCCCAAGGGAAGAATAGTTAAAACACTCTTCGGCCTAAAAGTCTGTAGTAGAGTAGTCCATAATACGAGTATGAAGGATTGCTAAGAAGCGGTCTCAATAGAAGTATGAAGCTACATCTCTCTATGAAAATGTTCACATTCTGACCATTTTCTTGTAGTTTATAAGGGAACACAGACAATGTACAGCACATTTAATAAGAAAGTNTTTTAGTACACTTCTAAGCAAGTTAGGATTTTCTGCTTTTCACCACGTGGAAAAGCATCTCATCTTCCATCCGAATCAACCAAAAAGTGAAAATTGATTTTTTGACACCTAAGCCCCCTTTCCGTAGACCAGGTCACATATATTAAAGCTGCTCAACAATCAAAAACCCGTTTGAGGCAGTTCCAGATCCAATTTCGACCGAAGGCGTTGCAAGCCTTTATAATTAATGCTTTAAAATTTAAATTTAATGGATCTGCGGCTAAAATATGTAGCGCTAAATTGGGATTTGTTTTAGATAAATGATTTCCACTGTTTGGCGGTAAATATCTTCTGGAAACCTCTTACGATCTATTAACATAGAGAGTTCACTCCCTTTTATGTACTACATAAAATACA